ATGTGGGAGAGATAGGAGGAGAGACTGAGTGTCTAGATGTGACTCTGGCTTTGGCTGTCTGACAAAGGATTTATGAAGGAAGCAGGTCTCTGAGATGTCTACTGGTTTAATGCACATCACAGGGGTAGAAGAGCAGACAGGAATCTGGTGCTAAGGTCTTAGCTAGAGATAAGGCATATTTTGCACTGTTTCTTAGTGTCTAGTGTCTAAGAATACAGTCAGGGTAAAGACTCTGCTGATCAAACTACCAGGCAGGGATGTCCACAATTGCAGCCTTATTGACTGGAGAGCAGGAGTTGTAGAGAGTTTCGTGCCTTTTGCGTCTTCATTCCAGTATCTTCTGAGCATTCACTGAGTGCTAGACATAGGGATGCAGCTGTGAATAACAGAGACACAAGTCTACCCTCATCCTTGCATGGTGCTGGAGAAGCAGTAGATAAATAGCACCGTGCATGAATCTGTGGGCACTCTGTCTTTGTGGCATCATCATACACTGCTGCAGATAGTGTGATAGAGGTTACAGCAGGAGATGAGGGGTGTGTGTGAGTGAGTGTGTGTTGTTTGGTTGGAGAAGGCATGACTGAAGGGGTCCTAGTTACACTGAACTTTGGAAGAATGAGTGTGATTTACTTAGACAGATGGAGGCGGACATACTAACCAGCCACAGTAAATGAAGAAAGCTCAAATTCATTTTCACCCCCTTCACAGCCATGCCCACGCTTACTTCCTATTATGTTTCAAAGAGCATATAGAATCTAGTCACCTTTACACACACACACACACACACACACACACACACACACACACACACACATTCTAGAAAAGTCTGTGCTTGAAATTTAAATACATTAGTTGATTGATTAAGGTAGTTTATTTTGTTACTATGTATATGTTCCTAATTTTCAAGAATGTGTAGATTTATGGTATCTGGAATTATTTTAGTAAAATACTTATACATCTTAATGAAGTCTTCAATTGTTATCAGGACCATTCTTTCCTACCTAAATGACTGGAGTTACTAAGTGTTAGAGGTCAGCTGAATGATGTTATAAATTATGACTTTTGTTTTCATCCTGAAGAAATCTTCAATACCATTATAGTATAGTGCTTTGGTTATATGATAGTAAGTAAAGTTAGAAATGTCTAGACTCAAGTCCTAGCCCCACTGTTTCTTGAGTTTTCTTCTTTTTTTTCTATTTATTTTTTATTAGATATTTTATTTATCTACATTTCAGATGCCAGCCCCTTTTCCCCATTTCCCCTCCCTAGAAAACCCCTATTCCATCCTCCCTCCTCCTTTTTGTTTTTATACCATTTTAATTACATGCAAGTATTAAGGTCAGTTCTAGGTTGAGGAACTAGCAATACAATAGCTGCAAATAGTCAAGGAACTAGAAAGACAATAAACACAAATAGTCAAAGAACAAGCAAGGCAATAAACAAAGTCCTGTGAACACTCCCATGATCACTGTTTCTAAGGGCTTATCAGGATGACCAAAATATCTGAGCCTACTTCCCTGTCCTAACCCAAAGTCATTTTCATGTCTGAAGCCTACTTCCTTATTCTAGCCTAATATTTAGAGTCCTGCCTGAAATTACTTCTATGATCTAGCCTAATGTCAGATTCCTGCCTGAAGCCCACTTACTTGTTCTTGGCCAATGTCCTATTCCTGCCAAGCAGCCCATTTTCTTGTCCTTGGCCCATGTCAGATTCTTGCCAAGCAGCCCTAAAAGCGCTCCACCTCTTTCCCTTTTTTATTTCATAAACAAGACTGAGCCTGTCTTTGGTCTTTCTGCCAAGAATGCCTTCCTTACCTGTTGTGGAATATACATTTTCAAAAGCAATGCACTTATGTCTTAGGTTGGTAAGACTCTGTGCAGAATCTTACCCACCCTTGGCTTCAGTCTGTTAATTTAATAACTCTGTCTGGGGGTCCACTTTCAGTTTCAAGCCACGTACTTTGGCTGTCAACATGTTGATGCTGTTAAAGACAAGCTTTAACACGATGGGCAGGAATAAAAATATGCCCAGGACAAAAAGGGCTAGCATGATCAAGCTATATATGCCATTCTTGAAGCTTGACCAAAATAGAAATACTGACCTCAGGCCATGGGTAATCAGCAGTATCTGCCACATTAATACTCAGCAGAGCAGCATTCTTTAAATTCATAAGCTCACTATGCAAAGTTAAAACATCCAGAGATGTATTAAAATTATGCCAAATACACTGCAAGTGTCTTTAAACTTTTTCCTAACTATAATGACTATCACTGTAAATTTTAGAACACAAATCCAATGGTATTTGGCACAACACTCGAGATGGCTCCTTACTCTTAAACTCTGAACCTCCTTCCAATAATTTGCATAGGATAAAGAGCATCAATCCATTGTTCCAAATGCCTATCTAAATCCTCTTGTATATTCAACACATTAGTAACATTTTTTGCTAAATGATTAACAAAAGTAGCTATCTTAACTTCTTGTGTCAAAGCAATTACAGAAGCAGTGGTGGTAGCAATTAATGTAATTAAAGCTGTTATACCAGCAATAATCAAGACCACTACCCTCTTGCTTCTGCTTAAAGCCTGACTCACTTCTTCCAGTACTTGCAAGCTTTTATCAGAAGACCAAGGTTCTGTGATACTCAAGGCAATAAAACAAAAGCTGGTTGATAGACCTCCATAACTGACATGATGGAATTCAACACACTAACACAATTAGAAAGTGTACAATCAATGCAACTTACATTAAATACTATAAAAGAAACAAAAGTATTTTTAACTTGACAATTAAAGAAGCCTTAAAACATGTACTAACACTTGTTTGAAATTCATATCCTGTCCCAACTTTATCTCTTGCTATCATAACATCATGGAGAACTGCAGCTAACTTTCAATAGACCAGTCCATGATTGAGTCCGAAAAACTGGTCACATTTAAGAAAAATACAAGAGTCATTATAACTTTTCTTTTTGATTCTCTGTTCCATGAGGTCTAAAAACTTGAGGCAAGGCAGCTTGTCCCATCAGGGGTATAGGTAGGCATACCTATTATTCCTGCCTATTATTATACCTTTTATTCCTGCCCATCAGGGGTAAGGTGGGTTGGTAACATATGTCCAATACAGCTTCTCAGTCACTATTGTCAGGACACTCAGGAAGCCCACAGATCAGCATCATTCTTTGTCCCAGAATCAGCATGTCTTACCCATCACTCTGGCAGCCACCATGCTCCTTCAGCATCTTGCAGAAAAAACACAAACATGCTCTCTTCCTCATAGTAAATACCTGATTGGGATCATGCCATATGTCAGTAAGTGGATCCTTCCCTTTCACCTATGCATAATTGTGCCTAGTTGTAGAGTGCCATAGGCACTCAGCAGAAAGTTCTTCAGCATCCAAATTTTTTTTTAAAAATTTTAAAATAAAAAGAACATGATTTAAATAAATTTGTGATGTACAGGGATATACTTCCCCCTTTTTTATTTTATGAAGACACTGTTTTAAAGTTCCATGGGCCCCTTCTACAGTCCCTTAACCTTGACAATTATAATGAATCTCAGTAATATGGGTAATATTAAATTGCTGCCAAAAAATCTCAAATGCTTGACTGCGAGAGCCAGTTCCATTATCTTTTTTTTTTGCATTTTTTTTATTGGATACCTCCCTGCCCTCGAATTCCCCCTTACTGGGGCATCCAGCCTTCACAGGACCAAGGACCTCCTCTCCCACTGATGCCTGACAAGACCATCCGCCACTACACGTACAGCTGGAGCCATGGGTCCCTTCATGTGTGTTTCCAGGCTAGTTGTTTAAACCCTGGGAGCTCTGGTTGGTTGATATTGTTTCTCTCCTCATGGGGCCGCAAGCCCCTTCAACTCCTTCAGTCTTCTCTCTAACTCCTCCATTGGGGACCCCGTGATCAGTTCAATGGTTAGCTGCTAGCATCCTCCTCTGTATATGTCAGACTCTGGCAGAGCCTCTCAGGAGATAGGTTTATCAGGCTCCTGTTAGCATGTACTTCCTGACATCCAGAACAGTGTTTGCATTTGGTGATTGCACCTGATGTGTAGGAGATACATATAACCACAAACTAGGATGCTTATAGCTTATGTAAAAACCAGACTATCAGGGAAGCTGCTGAGTACAGATGCTGAGCAGGAGAATCAAGGAAGGCTCCAGAAGAGGAATGTGGAGCTGGCCATGCTGGTGTACTATCCCTGTCTACAGAAGGCCCAGAAGTTGAGGAGAGGTGTGGAGGGCTGGTTACAAAGGCCCTGGGATGTCTCTGTGGTACATCTTCTAATGGTCTGATTTTTGAATGGTTCTTTGAGGGACACAGGGAACATGAGGTAGCAAGGGTGTTTTGTTTGCTTCCTGTTTCCCTAAGAAAATATGGTGTTTTTATGACTTCCTTTTTGCTCTGGAAATTTCTGCAGCTGCTCAGACGCTTAGGTGCTTGCCAAGTGTGTACTTGGAAGCAGTTTTCAAAGCTGGTAGAAGTAAGTGGTACATACATTCCATAGGATTACCTTAAGATTATTACAAACATTGATTTCATAACATTTATGTAGGATTTAAACACTTACATAGAAATCTTTCAACTTCCCACACAGCCTTGTATTTTGGACTTGTCTGTAAGAGTTCGTCTTCCGTGAGAGGTGTTTCTTCTTTAGAATGCCTTGTTTGTCTGCTCTTGCCGTTGCTGGACCCTAAGCACCCACATTTCACAGTGCTGATTCTCATCAGCAAATAACTCTACTGGGCACATTATCTGGTGGTTGACTTTCTTTTCAGTGAAAATTAAAAAAAAAAAAAAAAGGACTGGTCGCTAAAAGAAGTAAAAGTCAAGTCATCAAAAACAATGTAATATCCTGTGTGAAAGTCACGAAGCCTTGTGGTTTGAGTCCCTTGATCATGTGCCCTGTAAAGTGGCCCTGGATGGCAGAGAGTCATAGACCTTGGCAGGTGCGACTTCAGTTCACATCACACTCTGCCTTGCTCACAGAGGAGGGGCTGCAGCTCTAACCCTCATCAGGACAATGACACTCAGGCTGCTGTTCTTGGCTCTCAACTTCTTCTCATCAGTTCAAGTAACAGGTAAACAATTTTGATATTATTTCTTCCCTCACTGTAGTGACTTGTGAAATTTGAACATTTAAAGTTTTGCACTAACAGGTCAAGCTACTATTTAGAAACTAGCTAATTCTCATAATGCAGTAAATAAAGCTTTAACAAAAGTCCTTTGGGAAGAAATAACATTTTATTTAACAACTAGTCCCACGAACTTTTATATTTGAAATTTTATTTATTTATTGTTTTGTTTTTTTGAGATAGGATTTATCTAAGTAGCCTTGGCTGTCCTGGAACTCACTCTGTAGATCAGGCTGTTCTCGAATTCAGAGACTCACCTACCTCTGCCTCTTGAGTGCCAGGATTGGACACCCTCCAGGTCAGGATTTTACTTTTTACATCCTAGAATACCATGATAAGTAACTAGGTAAATTCTGAAGGTTTTGGATTAGCTTGCCTGAATGCATATCTCAATTCTTCCTAGTGGAATTTAGGCCAGTATTTAAATGACCTAAATCTCTGTAAAATGGGACCCTAAATGAGTATCACCTCAATTTCATTGTGAAATAAAATGATCATTGTGAAGGTCTTAGTTCATGCTTGACCAGTAAACATGGCGTTCATGTAAGTACTTTGTCTATCTGAATTCAGGCATTCATGTAAGTACTATGTCTGCCTGAATTCAGGAGTTCATGTAAGTACTATGTCTGCCTGAATTCATCGAGTGCCAAGACGATTCCTGTAGTACGCACAGAAGCTGGTACAGATACTAGTAAGTTTCCTTTTACTGTTGGCTGAAATATGTTTACTTAGGTTAAAATCCTTCAAATTCTCAATAGTAATGGCAAAGAGGCTATATATTTACTAACTAGAACTCTCTTATTCTGAACAGTCTTTGGTTCTCACAAGTAAGAACTGTTTATTGTCATAAACTCCATTTCAAATGAAGAGACATCTACTGAAGAGACTGTTCAATAATTTCTCTAGAGGATGCAGTTCCCCAGTATCTGGCAACAAATATTTACAGCTAAAGAGTCTTTAAAACTTATTTTTAAAAGGTTTCTGCACATCATGTTTAAGGGATCTTAAGTTTCTTTTGAAGGAATACTTAAGACATCTAATTTACTAGATAGTAAGGCCTTACCCATACTTCAACACTGGTGGTTTTACACAAAACAAAAGAGGGCTTTTCTGATGCCCTCTGTGAAAAACCATTTGTCACAAACTCATGTATTTTCTTTGGAAACTTTTTGGGTTGGACTCAAGGCTTTGTACTTTTCCCCTTTTAGAACTTATACAAGGGGATAGCTAAAAGAGAAGTTGTCAAGTTCATGCACATGCAGATCATTGGTTTTATTTACCTTAAGATAGGTTTTGCTTCATAGACACCAGTTCATTTTCCTACTAACTCTTAGGATTTGATGCCAAGTGGTCATTGATGAAATAGGATGGGGTACAGGTAGAAAACTGAAGAGAAGGAAGTTAAAAGGAAAGGAAGATAATTGCAAATGCAAAGATGTGTGACCCATGGAAAAGGTTGTGAAGCCTTTTGTGTGCTTTTCATTTCTTTCTTCATGTCTACTACCTCCCACAAGGAAATTCCCTAGTCAAATGTTATTGTCTTGGGCTGAGGATGTAGTACAGTTGGCAGAGTACTTGTCTGGTATACATGAAACCCTGAGTTTGATCCCAGCACAGAATAAACCAGGCATGGTAGCACATTCCTCTAATCCAGTGGAGGCAGGAGGATCAGAATGATCAAAGTCATCCTTGGATACATAACACATATGAGGCTAACCTGGGCTACATGCAGAATTAAAATGTGCCTGTGTGTTAGGAGCAAGTCTTTATATTCATTAATTGAATAATTTTGACTCATTGGCTCACAGCATACAGTAATGTACTTACTTGATGATGCTTAAGTGTAACCTGATTCTCATGGCTTGAATGATACAGCAGAAAGATCATTATGGCTCAATTATAGAAGTATGATACAGGAAGGGTTAGGAAGCTGTACCTTAGATGCTTCATCTGCTAAAGTTATGTGTTTTGTATTCATATTGGACAATAGTTCTCCTGAGATCTGAAAAGACAGGATTCTGTTGAGTTTTGGAGTGTAAGTCCAGCTCATAGCTGCAGGTTCCTGAGTGTATAATCATTTGTGGTTGATAGTAGGAGTGTGTAGGTAACATACATCATTGGTTTTATCTATCTATCTATCTATCTATCTATCTATCTATCTATCTATCTATCTATCTATCTGATCTGTTTCAGCAAGCTGACCATGTAGTCTAAAGACTAAACTCAGGAAATGCCTGTTTACTTTTCCATGAGAGCATTTCTTTTTATGTCTCCCCAAATCTTAGCGGATAGAACATGTCAAAGTGGCCGGGTTGAACATGATTGATTTCTCCAATGATTCTGTATTCCCCCTTAGAACTCCTTTTCCGTAGAGAGGCATAGTAAAATGATTGGCATTTAATAAAAAGTCATATCTACAAAGCAGAGTAATTAAAAACTTTATTCTTGTTAGTCTTTGGCAAATGACTTCCTCTGTGGTGGATGCACAGAAAGAAATAATTGGCTTCTCAAGGTTAAGTGTGGCTCTGAGGCTGTGCTTGCAAAATAAGATAAGAAGAGATGTGTGTGGAGGAATGTAATATAATCAGCAGACGGCTGCATTTGCACTGATTCTGATGCACTGCTGCCAGCTCTTCTGACTGTTAAAAACTGACCAGGCCTTCTGTCATTTGAAGTACGTTTAATAGCTACTTCCAAAATATGGAATTTGCTAAGAGCTTGGTTCACTACCATGATCTTAGTTAATACACTATCTTTTCAGCCGCCTCTCAACTACCCTCTTTTTAAGGCAACCCATCTAGCAGAGGCTTTAATAGCAAGGACTTTTAAAATTAATATTGATTTATCAATTCCAAGAAGTAGAATGAGTCATTGCCACAGGCAGATCAGAAGAAACGAATCTGTGATCGTTATTGTGAAGAGCAGGCATGCAAACTTTTGCTGCGGGGGAAGGGCTCTCGTTGCCTCCCTTCCTTAGATATGGACTCTTCTTTTTAAATGTCCCCCGTTTCTATTTTCAGGAGTAAAGAAATTCCCTGTGATTACTGTGATTGTCTTGTGTGGATATCTTCCTACAAGTATTTCTTGTAGACAGTGTCTGATCTCGACAAAGTGAAAAAAAAATTATGCCACCAAGATCCCAGAAGCAAATTTCATTTGTGGTTTATCATCGGAGGCCATTGTTCTTCTTGTTCACCTGCACAGACGTTGGTGGGGACACGGGGTTCACTTGTCTGAGACTAGAAGGCATGGACCTCCCAGAAAGCACAATTACCTCACGACAGGCGGTTGACAGGGATAAATCCTTTCCTCCCTCTGCCAAATTATAGTTTGCCTTTTTCCTTAAGAAATTTATTCACAGATGTTGGAACTTTTCTGTTGAGAGTTTAGTCAAACTTGGAGAGAAATGACCTGAGTGCTTTTGTAACTCACTGGAGGGGTGTCCGGTTCTCTAAGTCAGGCGAGGCTTTCTTTGGGACTCTCCGGGCAGTAATGTGGTGGTTACAGCACCGACGCCACCCACCCACCCACCCACCCACCCACCCAACTAGTCAACTAGTTAATCAACCAAAGAGGACCAAGACAACAAATGCTCAACACACCCAGAGCTTAGCAGGAGACTCGGTGAGCGAGCAGGAATTAGTCCCTGAAGCTGGGGGGAGCAGGCACTGGCAGTGGGGGTGGGGTGGGGGGAAATTAAGGCCTCAGGGGTGGGGGAAAGCATGCACAAAGTGGGTTGTCTGTCTGTCTGTCTGTCTGTCTGTCTGTCTGTCTGTCTGTCTTTGTTTGTTTGTGACTCTAAGTTTGACTGCCCTAAGCTGTAGAAGAGAGATTTGCTGGGTGGGATCAAGAAGTCCCCAGTTTCTTGGCAGACTCAGGAAAGGAGTGTTTTCTCTGCCCTTAGTGATTCATTGCTAATGTCATGGTTTTGTCTTTGTATCATTATGCAAATTATATTTGTGCTCTTCATGAGCAAGAGACACTTCACAGTGGTGCAGAATTTTTTTGCTTAACTTCGGGTTTCTTTATCTCCACATCATGGTTACCGTCATCTCCTTGCCACCATCATCGTTATCTCTTGGATGCTGGTTGGCAAGGTAACCAGGTTAACGATGTCATTCAGAATTACTTACAGTTCACATTAGTCTCTAATCTAATCATGAAATCCTTTCCACAGCTTCTGAATCATGTTGCTGGCTCATAATCAACCATATAATGTATAATCAAAACATTTAAGTCTCTCCAATGTCCACCAGTGCATTTAGACATCTTATTTATTGACATGTCCCTCATTCTAACAATGACTCTAGTTCTTTTATTGAGAACTTAGGTGGGTGTTGGAATTTTCAACCATTCTTTTTTGTACTATGTTATGTGTTTGTGTATTTACAGGTGCATGTGTGTGGAAGTGGAGGGCAGTCTCAGATTCCATTTTTCTGGTACTCACCACCACTTCTTTTTTGTTTGTTTTTTGTTTTTGGATTCTCTGTTTTGGGTCTCTCCCTGGCCCAGACCTTGCCAAGCAGACCTCACTGGCAGCCCAGTAAGCACTAGGGATGTGCTTGTCTCAGCCTCCCTGGCACTGGGATTATAAGTGTATGCCATCACACCTAGCATTTTAGTATGACTTCTGGTCATTGAACTTGGCTCTTCATGCTTTACCAACTGACCTATCTCTCCAGAGTCAACATTTTAATTTTTAAATTGGTGATCAAGAAGGTTGTGGTTTTCTTTGCTTAGGAGTACTTTGCAGAGGAGGAATTATAAAATCTTAGATTTTTTTTTTTTGCAGTCTTAGGCCAATTATGAATAGCATCCTATCCACACTAATTTATTATTGTTGAAAACAATTATAAACCACTGGTGTTTATATGAGAGGAAATAGGTATTTCACAATTTGCAGAGAAGAAACCTATGTTGCTGGTCACAAGATGTTGAGAGAGAGA